CTTGATAAACCTTGTCGGTGTGTATTCACACCGGCTACAAAGTTTTGCGAGATAGCTATCTTTCGTAATTCACACCGGATTTACATTTAGGCATTGATTTCTGACCTAGGGATACTGCAATAGCCATGAAGAAGCATGCTATCGTATAATTATATCAATTAACGTCTGCATAAATCGCTCAGAAGTCTCGTGTCGTCGTTAGAATAGTAATATGAACTTCCTTTCGCATTACGAAAGAATCTCGAGAAAATAATCTCAATTGAGTCTTCGCCGAACAAACGATTTTTGGTACTCACTTTCGACGCAGCGACTTCGAGGAAAACGGATTTGAGAAATCATGCGACATGATTGAAAATCACGCTAGTCCAGTTTAGGAACTGTTTTGTACGCAGAATCGATTACGTAATCTTTGTTCGTAATTATGTAATCTATCATTTCTATCGTTTTGTACGCAGAATCGTTTACGTAATTTTCGTTCGCAATGATGTAATCTACCATATTCTATCGCCATTCGAAAATTGCATTAAAAGGTTGACAAGTGAACATTTCGCCTTGTTTCACTGTTTCATTGAAAAAAAGTTATCATTAAACTGCAGATTTTACGCGTTTATGATAAAACTGTGCGGCTGAAACTCGAAGCGAAAATACGAAATGTATCTAAGAATTTCGTGATATTATTCGCAACTTATCAGAATTATTGAGACAAGAAACAAATGTCTATGGAATTCTTATTATCGATGCAAATCATTTTTGTTTTGTCCGAAGAGCCGCAGTCTAGTTGGCATATTTTCTTCATTATGAAATCATGTATTTTTCTTGAAAGAACGTTCAGTTTCACCGAGTTCATTATTAAACGATTAACGAAAACATATACTATAATGAACATAAGAGACCTCGCACGTTAACGCGAAAAATACATGCTAATATTATCATTCGTAGCCGCAAAGACGAAGTTATCGAAGCTATGGGTGATTCGCGCATCCGCTCAGCAATAAATCGAGGAAATTATCTCTAACAAAGTGCTGCGCTAGAGAGAAAAGAGCTTTCTCGTTCATTCATTGTCAGTCGTGGAACACAATGACGAAGTGTAATGTGGAAAATTCTATGAATGCGCAATCTCATCACTTCGGAGGGAATCGAGGGAATCGAGGGAATCCTCCAGAATGAAACTCGTCTCTTTTTACAGGAGATGGCGACGCTCGTTTCTATTGGAATAATTATTTGCAATAAATATTACAGGTTCAACACGAAACTTGGATTTTCCAAAAATTTCAATTCGAATCCAACGGTCTACAACATGTGGCATTTTAGAACGAAATAACTTTTTTTCAAATTCGATGAATTGATTCAAATTTTTTTTTGGTCCTGTTGAAGTGGCTAGTTTACTAAACAATGTCTTAACCTATGAAATGCAATTGGTTGGAATGAAAAAAAAAAAGAATTTAAAACTCACGTTTTTTAACATTCAATCTGAGCCTAGAAGAAAAATTTTAACGATGCTACAAGTTACAGAAACCCACAAAACGCATTGTTTAAATTTGTCTTTTATATATACATATGCTGAAAAATTCAACGAAATAAGTTGACATTGGTTTGAGCTAAAAATATTTAAAGATGCGAAAACTGCGGTTTTTCATGATTGTTGCTTTGACCGATAACGTAATAATTTATGTTTTTCACTAGGCTCACAATCGGATAAAAAAGTTAAAAAAACACGAGCATTTTACTTCGTTTGTCATTCCAACTACTTGCAATTTAAAAAAAATAAATGTTTAGACATTGTCCAGTAAACTAGTCCTTCTAACATCTTAAAAAAAATTTAAGTCATTGGGTCGAATTTCTAAAACGTTACTCCGTTTGAAAAGGTGTTCGAATTTTTGTATGTAGAAATATCATCTATGATGAAAGTTATTACCGAAAGATATGAAAGCCTAATTTTCTTCAATCGCAAGCT